CCCAGAGCAGATACTGTCACAGGAGCCACTAGGACAGACAGGTGTGAGCCTCAGGTGTGAGACTCCCTTTGCCCAGCATGTTTTTCAAGCCCCCCACAGCTACCAATGGTCCAAGCCAGAGACCTGGGCCCCTCAGGCTGTGCTACTACCTGGACCACAGCCACCTTTCCTCGGCACCCCAGGCCATGGGTCCCCCTCCTTTCTCTTACTGGAACTGAGTTTGTTCTGCCTGGGAGGCCTCCCTCCAGGAAGCTACCCTGAAGCAGAGCATTAGCAACCTCACAGATGAGAGCACCATCCCAGGCCAGACCTACCCACGGCACAACCCCTCCTAATGCCAGACAAAGCCCAGGGAAGGCAGCCAGGCCTCACCACACTGGCCCTCGGTGTTGTTGACGAACTTGCTAAAGGGCACCTCCACTGAGAAGATGAGGCCACTGAACATGACCTGGACTCCAAGCTCAGGGATGGTCACATACATCTTGATGCCCACTCGGGAAACCATGATGCCGTTTTTCTGGAAGCCAGGGCGCACCACCTCACCATTGAAGATGATCTGGACGTGTGGCACAGCGAAAGAAAAACAGAAGAGTAGACAGCAGTCAGCGTGCAGGGCCCCGCCAGGAAGGCTGGCTGGGCCCTGCCACGCACACAGAGACTTCCCCACCTCATTGGTCATCACCCCGCCAACTGGCTTGCGGGTCAGCACTACGCGGTCCTGCTGGTACTCGACGATGATGGACTGTGGGCAGGAGAGCCCGTCCTCTGCATTGCAGAAGTAGTTGTCAATGAGCACACGGAAGTGTCCGAGCACGGGCACGATCTGCTGCACCAGCACATACGTACAGTTGTCCAGAAACGTGTAGTAGGTGCCGTCGAAGGTGATGTAGTGAGGGTCTCCCCAGCCACTGCACACACCTGCGGGTGCCAAGAGCAGCCTGACAGGGGTTTCAGGGACTCCCCTGCCGCAACCTCCCACTGTCTTGCCACAAGGGAGCACATGCAACCCTCCACGTTGTTGGAACGCATGTGGCCAGCACCAGCAGACCTCTCTGGCCAGTGGTGCTTGACAGAGCCTGAGTGAGGTAGGGACAGACCCCTCCACTTTCTCTCACAGGGCAGGCCCAGTAGCTCTGGGGACCTGGGCAGGCCTCTCCTCAGCACTCTCAGAGGCCTAACCACCCTTATCGCCCTCCCATCTTTGCCTTGATGCTGTAAGTTCAATCTAGAGGAGGGGGGCTGATGCTGGGCAGAGGCTGACCCCCCACACACTATGTCCCCCAGCTCACACTGGCACTGGTAGCGCTGGCAGCAGCCATCCTGGTCAGCCACCTTTAGGGCTGGGTAGCCGTTGGCACAACTGGGCTCTTCCACCCTCGGGCACGTGCGCGGGCGTAGAGAGATGACATCATTGCCCTCACAGGTGGCCTGGGAGCAGTTGGGCATGGCCCAGGTCTCGCCTTTCTGCAGAAGCAGAGGCAGCTGCAGTGTCTGACCCCTCAAGTCTCCAGGGGCCTCCTCCAGTTCTCAGGAGTTCCCTAAGGCTCCTCATGGGGACGTGGGAGGACAAGGGGCTGTGGCTATACAGCAAAACCCCCAATGATCCCCAGCCTCTTACCCATACCACCCTTGCTACCTGCCTTCACACAGCTCAGAGCTGGAGGCTCTTAATGGGAACTTGCCCCTCCCTGTCACTATTGCTCTCCCTGCCTGTCCAGTCAGAACATGGGACCCCTAGCCTGGTGCCTGGTCTGCGGCTGTAGCCTTATGCCCCCATACCCAGCTCCTTGCTGGGAAGCCACTTTGGGAGGTCCTGGAACCAGACCCTTAGCATGGCACTGGCCATGCAAATATGTTCAAGGTCTTACAGTAGCCCCTCAGTGTCCAAAGGGCAGGGAGGCACAGGTTACCTTTCTTGGCGGAACTGCACTTGGGCATCCCTGTGTAGTGACAGGCTTGGAGGTGGATGTCAAAGGGGACGTCTCTGGGACAGGGGGCACCGTAGTGGAGGGACATGTATGGTCCACCCCTCTGACCACTTGGCAATATTGGTTGCACAGGGCATAATAGCAATGCCCGGCAAGATCTGTCTGGTGGTAAATGATGGATCCTGCAAAGAAAGAGACACAGCAGCCATGAGCTAAGAGAAGGGCCACTACCCCGCCACCCACCCCACAGGGGCTGCTCCTTTATGCAAGGGGCCCTTTCTACCCTCATTACTGGGAGGGAACATCAAAAGAAGGGGTGAGGCCACTCCTGGCTGCAGTTAGCCAGTAGCTCAAATAGCAGAGGCCTCTCATGCATGTCCATAGGGGGAAAGCCGTGGGCAGCATGGGCTCGACTCTGCTCTAAGGGCACATGTGCTTACCTGCAGGATACAACTGTCCAGCCAGGCTACAGAAGCAGGTGCGGGTAGAGGGCGCTGAAGAGCTGGACACCTCAGAGGTGGAGACTACAGATGTGGACCAGACTGAAGATGAGGTCTTGGTAGTTGCAGTTGGAGGATGAGTCACAGTGGTCTGCGGGCAGCCTGCAGGCGTCTGGCAGCACAGCACGCGCACCTCATAGTTGAGGCACATCCTGAGTCTTCCCACCTGGTCCTGGTTCCTGCACACCAGGCCCACGTCCCGGTCACATCGCACCACCTGGCCCAGCTGCTCGATGCTCACATCAGGGTGGTTCTCTGCACGGCACTCGAGCTTGGTGATTTCTTCTGGCCGGTGGCAGATTTT